GTGCGTGCGTGCGTGCGTGCGTGCGTGCGTGCGTGCGTGCGTGCGTGTGGTAAATGCAATACCGCTCAGATCTTTGAGATTTAAAGTGGCATTGCAATTGTTAAGACGTGTCACTTACCATCAAGCACACGACTTGTGACGGTACTTCCCGTACTTGACGGTAAGGTGGCATACTTCCCTGGACGAACTCTACTGCTACTAAAAAATAAAAATTCCAGGAAGGCAACAACTACGGTACAGAATACCACGACTATAGGTTTATAAATAATCCACTCCTACGGATTAAGGTCGTTGCACATGCGGGAAGCACGAATCTAACTTTTGAACCGACTCTGGACCAAACGCGCGTGCTCATTATGAAATGGTTCCATACGATTATAAATGTCAACGCACATTTGCCGACTGTGGATAAAATGATGTATCCCGGTAAGTTGTTTTAATTATCGTTCGGCATTACCTACTGTGGCTAGGGTTGAGATTTATAAAACGAAATTTGACTCAAAGTAAGTTAAGCAAGTGTTAGTAACTGCCTCCGTGGCCGAACGGTTACCATGCCGGACTGCCACGCAGAGGTCCCAGGTTCGATTCCCGGGCCGGGAGAAATATTTGTATGGCCTACATTTATTTCTCTCGTGAGTTTGGGTGCAATTTGTGGTTGTCTATGTGTGTGTCCATGGCACCCGCGACACAGGGTTTCCCTAGTGCGGGGCTATGTTGAGTGTGAGTGTTGAGTGTGAGCGTTAGTGTGTGTGTCGCTGTGGTCAGCCTCTTATCTTCTCTTTCTTTACACGCTTCCTGCCTTTAGTAAGCTTCTAGGCAACATGGGGCGACATGAATGGTTTTTTTTTTCACTTGAATAAATATTTGTATATTGTAAAAGAATGTCTGTTAGGAATCTGCCGTGTGAGAACCTCGATACAATTCAAAATTAAAAAATTGTAACCACAAAAGAACGTTAAACATTCATCGATGTTGTGCATACTTTCCGGTAGATGTCATCACCGTGTACGCGTTAACAGCAAGTTTTTCGTATTTATAAAACGACTTATGCCTAAGTTTAAGCAAGAAATTACGAAGTAAACTCAAAGTTTAATATCATTATTTAATTATCACTTACTTTCAAATTAGCGCTAGTGACGCGGCAGCCGCGCGTCTGTAGCGCTTCAATAATTCATGGTTCGTTGATTGTGACTGCAAAAGTGTCACGACAGTAGTGCTGCCACTGAGCTTCTAAATATTGTATCTAAGTTAGTAGTTATGCGGTTGCTAAAAAAAGATCTAAAAGAGATCTCTTCCAGCCAACCCAGGGCAGTGAGAGCTAAGGTTCCAAGCGGGCAAAAGCGTGCAAAAGAGAATGAGAAAGATATATAATAAATTACACAAATAAGAAATTCCGTCTGTATATACACAGTCAGGTCATAAGTATTGTCACACAGTAAAAACTTTTCTTTTAGAATGCTGGCCACAAAAAAGTTTATTGAATTCGAATTTCGAATTGTTCATGAAAATAAAAATGTATACTTTTTAGAATTTTACTCATTTTTAAATATGGAGTGGACGCTTAAAGAAGACCGTGTTGCAGTTATTGCGTTGCATCGTTGCGGTTACGCGCCAATTCAAATTTTTGACATACTGAAAAATTTGAATATAACCAAAAGATTCGTTTATCGTACCATCAAACGATACAATGAAGACTCTAGTGTAGATGACAGGTCAGAAGTGGTCGCCCTCGGTCTGTTAGGACTCCAGCAGTGATAAAAGCTGTGAAGGCGCGAATTCAAAGAAATCCCAAACGTAAGCAGAAACTGTTGGCCCTTCAGATGGGGTTAAGCAGAACCACGGTGAAAAGGGTGTTAAATGAAGACTTAGGGCTTCGGGCATATCGAAGAAAAACAGGACATCGTTTGAATGCTCGTCTAATGGACCTGAGACTGAAGAGATGCCGCGCTTTGTTGAAGCGGTACGCGGGAAAAAAATATCGGGAAATTCTTTTTTCAGATGAAAAAATTTTTACCGTAGAAGAGAGCTACAACAAACAAAATGATAAGGTATACGCACACAGTAGTGAAGAAGCGAGCAACCGTATTCCGCGTGTCCAACGAGGTCATTTTCCATCCTCGCTCATGGTATGGTTGGGAGTTTCTTATTGGGGCTTAACAGAGGTACATTTTTGTGAGAAAGGTGTAAGAACGAATGCAGTTGTGTATCAAAATACAGTCCTGACGAACCTTGTGGAACCTGTTTCTCATACCATGTTCAATAACAGGCACTGGGTATTCCAACAAGATTCGGCGCCAGCTCATAGAGCGAAGAGCACACAAGACTGGCTGGCGGCGCGTGAAATCGACTTCATCCGGCACGAAGACTGGCCCTCCTCCAGTCCAGATTTGAATCCGTTAGATTACAAGATATGGCAATACTTGGAGGAAAGGCGTGCTCAAAGCCTCATCCCAATTTGGAGTCACTCAAGACATCCTTGATTAACGCAGCCGCCGATATTGACATGGACCTCGTTCGTGCTGCGATAGACAACTGGCCGCGCAGATTGAAAGCTTGTATTCAAAATCACGGAGGTCATTTTGAATAAACTTTAGTGTCATAAGAATCTATGTTTTGTTAAGTTCATTTTGGTATATAAATGGTTACATAATGAATAAACTTGTTTCAATTATTTTATATTAAACATGTGACAGAATTTATGACCTGACTAGGTATATATACATACATACATACAAAATATAAATATATATCTCGGAGGTTCCGTGTTCGATCCCCGGCCGGGTCAGTGTAGAAAACTAACTTTTCTATATTACCTCGGGTCTGGGTGTTTGTGGTACCGTCGTCGCTTCCGATTTCCATAACACAAGTACTTTAGCTACTTACTTTGGGATCAGAGCAACGTATGTAATATTGTCTAATGATAAAAAAATATATGATCATTAATATTGTTTAGTTTTACTAAATTATCTCCCTCAATTCCGATCACTACTTATTACAGATGCGAACCGGCGCCCATATCTGCTATCCGTATACCCCGACGAACCGTACATGCAAGACGCAATAAACACGAGCGTACGTCACTTCAATGCCAACAGACCCGGACCTATTGCTTTCCTAAATCGATATGAAACGTTCTATTACATACTCGATGGCACCGCCAAGACGAAATTGTTGCAGTTCTTTGGACAGGAACCGCCTCCATATCTTAAGGTAGTTTGTTACGTATGCCTCGTTGGGTCTTGGATAATCCTCCACTTGACCTTATTAACCATCTTGGTTCATTCGGGCTGGATCATGAAGGATGCTTACCTATTTGGGGCTTTTATTAATATTTGCTTATAGAGCCAATGGTTACATATACATATACTTAGCAATAATTCTTGACATCAATTTGCTGGTTGGTTTCTGGAACTTTCCGAAATATTTATTGTAATAATGGGTAACTTATCACAAACTCGAATTTATTTTGACCGAAACTAAGTTTGTTCGAATTTTCATTACCCCGAAAACCGAATTATAACAAAACCGTTGTTCTTTCAGGATATGTTGGATGTTTATCGAAAAGACACGATTAGGTTCGGTTAGGTTAAGTTAGGTTTAAAATAAAAAATTTTTTTTCTCAAAATTACTTTCGAGATTATGAAAATTCGAGCAAACGTTGTTTCTGGAGAATGTCATTTCGGACTTCTAATAGGTAACCGTTATAATAATAATACTGCCGTCCACTAACTAAAACGTGGTTAAGTGAGAAATGGTCAAATATATCTTATATTATGGTTGAATAGTAAAAGATTATAGTATATCCTATTTTAAAAACATTTAAAAATAGTTAACGTGTTCGACTATCGGAATTTGCCATTAAACGTTTTCAATATTCCAAAACTGGGTTATGGTTTTTTTTGATAATTCTCAAAAAAAATATTTTGTCACTTTTAGTTGGCTTACGGCAGAATAACCCACGCACTCATATGCCCCGCACTAGAGAAACCCTGTATCGCAGGTGCCATGGATACACACAAACATAACCACAAATTACACCCAAACTTAGGACAGAAACAAACGTGTAGGCCTACTACAAATATTACCCCCTTTGCTTGGCAGACCAGTATAGTAACCAATACAGAGTTGAATTTTTATAGTTTTTAATAATTAATATTAGATTTATTATTGTTTTTACAAAGATCGAATAAATACAAAGAAAAAGTCCTCCGATCTGACTGAAAGAAGAAAAGAAGCAAAATACATTTATTTGTTTACTACAATGACAGGGAAACAAGAAAACGAAACAAAGCATCATCAAAACATAACGTCAAAAATAAATAAATAAATGAAACTAAAAGACAAAAACAATATATAAAAAATTAAATTAATCTGAAATAAATGTTTTTTTATTATTATTAAAACACGAACTATTCACACAAACGGTAAAAAGAACATTAGATATAAAAGTACTTTGTGTGTTGCCAGCCGCGGTAACAAAATAGTCACAAACTCAGCATTTGCTGCCAACTGCCTCCGTGACCGAACGGTTACCATGTCGGACTGCCACGCAGAGGTCCCAGGTTTATTCCCGGGCCGGGAGAAATATTTGTATGGCCTACATGTACTTCTCTCGTGTGTTTGGATGTAATTTGTGGTTGTCTAAATGTGTGTCCATGGCACCCGTGACATAGGTTTTCTGGACTATGTTGAGTATCTGCGTTATTATTATTTGCTGGAAAACGCAATGCGTTCCGAACACTGATTTTCAGTAGATAAGAACCCTAAGTAAGGCCACGGACCTGGACATGAACCAGCGTCAGTCATCTCATCGTGGCTACTGCTCTTACCATCTGAGTTACAGATAGAGCCAGCAAATCTTAGGAATTTATTTACTTCTTGCGGATTTTGTATTGGATTTAAACGACTTTTTGACCGTATATTGTAATATCACGGTAGCAAAACATGTACGGTAGCAAGAGATAAACAATAAATCTAATATTTATGATAATAAATCACAATCTCGACGGCTCAACTCAGCACAAGATGAGGAAGTCCCGTATCCCATTCCCGACAGGACCAACTTCGGAAATGTGTAACTGATCTAGGTTTTAGTACCGGGATACTTATTGGAAGAATGGATTAATTTTTATCTCAATTCTATAGTTTGAGACCTATTAATTAATGTGCTTTTCTGGTACAGCATTATTCAACATTAAACATGTATGCCTAACGTGACCTTTATTTTATTACCTCAGAACGGGACGCCTGTAAATTTATCGTTATTTTAAAAATAAAATGCATGTTTATGATATTTACAAAACGTCTAATGATTAAAAAAATCAATTCTTGTGTAGTCTGGTGTCTTTTTAGTAGTCTGGTTTGTCAAAGCCGGACATTGTCCAGTACATTATTATTATATATTGGGGACAGCGGGACACATGCTTAAAAGCGGGTCTATCCCACTCAAAGCGTGACGTATGGTCACGTTATGTAAGCCAAAGAAAGTTTACAAGCATATAACCCAAGTTTGGTGGCGTGGTCACTAATCCTCGCTTGAAGGGCCATTGACTACCGCAATTTGTGTTGATACAATCTCCTTTATTATGCTCTACCAGGACTTTTCAGCCCGCATAGTAATGTACGAGCGCCTCCGCGACGAAATTCTCTTTCTCCGCCGAGATATACCGCTGAATATGATCTTGCTCGACTGTGGTCCGGTCAACGACTGCCTGTGGGAGATCGTCAACGGGCTACGGCAGTACATCGTTGATCATTTCATAAAGGTTAACCGAACGTGGAATAGAAGGTAAGTTTTCGAAATATCATTATGGTTCCCAATAAATTTTGAAGAAAGAGTAATACGAGTTCAATGTGACTGTGGGCTGGCACCAGGGATCGGCTTTAAGCCCCTATCCGTTTCTCCTGATTGTGGATGCCCTAACATCGGACATACAAGAAGAGACCCCCCCCGGTGCATGCTGTTCGCCGAGGACATTGTTCTTGTCAGGGAGGACGCACTTGTGGTCCAGAGTAGACTGGCAAAATAGCAAGTAAGACAGGAGAGTATCAGGTTGAGGAGTTGCCAGTCGAAAACCGAACAGCTTTTCCTCGACTTCGGCGGTGCCTAGGGTTTTACCAATATTGCCTCAGATGATGTATCAAATGATTTTCGGTGCCTCGGTTCGTTGATATAGAACGACGGCGAGATAGACCGGGACGTTAAGAACAGGATAAGTGCAGGATGGATGAAATGGCGATAGGTCACAGGCACCGTTTGCGATTGGTGAATGCCCTTTAAGCTAAAGGGAAAATTACCAATACCATGACTAGACCTGTTGTAGTATGGATCAGAATATTGGGCAATCAAAGGGGAGGATGAACTAACTGTGCATGATGCAGCGGAAATGCCAATGTTGAGATGGATGTGTGGAGTGACGAGACAGGACAAAATAAGGAATGAGTATGTCAGGGAAAGTTTAAAATAGGTGCCAGAAACAGAAAAGATGAGGAGTAATAGGTTAGCGTGGTTTGAACATGGCATGCGGAGGGAAGAAAGTCGTGTGACGAGAAGAGTATTAGGTATGAACAGAGAATAAAAAAGTAACGAGAACGGACACTCTCCGCTCCTCCTTAGCTGTAGACCCCGCACCACGCCCCGCACATTGACGGTCACATTGACTGAACGGCAACAAGGCTGCCGGCGAGCCGTTTGGACGGCTTTGATATTTGAATATAGTCTTCATTTATTCATGGGATAAGGACAGGAAGAAGAAGAGTAGTACAAGCTAGTCGAGAGTAGACTTTGCGACTTAGGTTATAGAGCTTATGTTACATCATCATCCTCAGCGATTGCCCGGTCCTCAGCTTGTCCCATGCATTGCCTGCCAGCAGCTTTTCACAGATCGTCATTCCTACTGGCCGGAGGACGTCTCACGCTACGTTAACTAAGTCGTGATCTCCACTCAAGAACTCTATTCGCCCATGTGCTATCTACGACAGATGTGACCAGCACTCGTCAGCTGCTTATTCTACCAGTTATGTGGATGACCTTGGTTCTCTGTCCGATAATTTCATTACCTCAATTGACATATCTTCGTCGTTCAATAGGAAAATTTATGCATTTGTATAATGATTAGCTTGATCCCCCTGTGATTTTGGGGTTGCGGAAAATGGAACGGTCATCACTGTAACAATACTTAACATAAAACCTGCCAAAGGCATATCTAGAGACAACTTAAGGTAGTCAAGTCATTGATTTACATGTACGTAACCTATTTTTACAGCATCTGCAATATTTACGAAGAAATGGCAGCGCGTGCCGGCGAAAGCCCAGAAACAACTCAGCAACTTGTGGAGCTGATCAACTACATCCAGGACTGTCGCGACTGCGCCATGTTCGACCTCCGGGAGAAAGCCAGAACTACTGTAGAATATGTCATGTTTCTTATGAATCATGCACATTTACAATGTGAGACTTTTTGATCATTTTATGCATAAACTTAGCCCTTGACTTAATCACATTCAATAAATAGTAAGTATTCTGTTTCTACAGGCTAACCTATCCCTAAACGAACTACTTAACTAAACACCAATCCATTTCCAAATTTTCACTAATATTACTGAAATAATAATCAGTGTTGAATATGCCCCGAGAAGGGATAAATTATATGATAAACTGGCTTATTTTCCAGTCGAAGACATAAACCTGAACACAAGAGTATTCCTCTGGCCGTCGGATATGGAAGACACCATCGATATAACTCTCAAGACCCTCAGTACAAAGAAAACCATGGCGGAAGACAAGCTTCGCAACACCAAAACAATCTTCGAAGAGAAGTTGAAGGCACATGAGAAAGAATTAGAATTGTTCCGGAGGTTTGATCCGCCTTTGTTGAATTTGGATCTGCTAAAAGAGACGGTTGCAAAAGTGGATGAGATTCAAAAGAATTTGACGGTAAGTAACACCTACACTCGAGTCTAAATGTACGAACCGCTTCCAAGTTTATTGAGAGTGAGAATGCTAGATGTGTTTGTCTACCCAGCTAGAATTTAAAAAGATATTTCAGACAGAATAATTCCAAGATAATTTGATAAATGTTCTAAACCTCAATCTATTCTCTAATTTTAAATGGGTGAGAATTTCAGCTTACTGGAACGGTGAAGCCAGAGATCTAATGAGTTTTTTGTTAAGTACAAATGACGGTCTGAGATGACAAAGGACACGGCTTTGAGATGAATATGAGAACTTACTTTGGGATCCAAAATTACTACTCCTGCTGAAGCCAGTCTTCTAGAATTGATATTTCTCGTTTTTTAGTCTGTGTCATTTCTGTAACATGTTTTGCAAGAAAAAATCCGTAAGGCGTTAGCGTTCGCCTCACATTATAAGTTTTTTAAACGTCTAGATCGCTCATCATTCTACTTTATAATCCCACAATATCCTCAGCATTCTCCTTAAATTGCAGGATGACAAATACGAGGCTGAGTTCATAATAAACGAGGAACAACTGCTCGATCAAGAAGTGTCAGCGTATTTCGGACTCAGCGTCATGCTCGCTGGCATCGAGCCTTTTTACAAGTTATGGCATACTGCGCATGACTTCTACGAGGGATACGATAGCTGGTAAATACAAAATAAGGGTTTAAGTCTGACCTCACTTTCCTTAATGTCAAGTTTAGTGTAGTCAAAACAAAAGTTAAAAGCGCTGAATGAAGTTTAAAATATTTTATTTGGCATTG